CATCCGCCATTGACGATCGGTGACTCATGATCTTCGCCTCTTCTGCTTCTGGTTAGACTGACTTGAGAGTGGAAAAACTTGTTCAGTACTGAACTTACTAGTAAATCACTAGGCGATTACTCCGCGGTTCACAGTAGACCAGGCACTCATCAAATAAAAATGTACCATCATCACAAATTTGTAAGACTGTCATCGGTGTACAACTTGAATGACTCCTTGGAGGCACGGTCGATGGTAAAGTAGTAAACCACATGCACACAAGTTTTTTCCCCATCTAGACGAGACTGTTGGGCTTCTTGCTTCTTGTTCAGTTAGAAAGGTCCTTTTTCTTTTCTTTTCTTTTCTTTTCTTTTTCTTTTCCGGATAAAATAAAGGGTTATTATCACTTTACCCCCTTAATATTTGTTGCTATTATCAATTTCTCCCTTAACGTTATCTTTTAATCACTTTATCCCTAAGACTAACGGTCAAATTTAAAAGAGTTTGTTAATTAAAGTTAAAAGACATGTTTAATACTTAAAATTATTATCACTATACCCCCATAAAATATAGTTTCATTATCAATTTACTCTTTACAGTTATTTTTTAGTCAAATTATCCTACCATTAAACCAACTTAGCAAGTTAAAAAACATTAGAAGAAAATATCCTTCTCTTTGCATAATAAAAATAATAAAAATTTTAGAGTGACTCTTCTCCTTTTTAGTTTAAAAAAAAAGTCAAAATATTAATTTATTTATTCTTGACAATCTTATTAATATTGAAAAAAATAGAAAGATAGAGAGGGGGAGGGAGAGAGAGAGCTCAATTCTTTTTTTAAAAATTACAAATAAGAAAGAATTAAATACTTTTATTATTTCACTTTTTTATTTACCACTAAATTCCAATTCTAATCCCGACAACCTAAAAGCAATACGATAAATGTTAGACTTTTCTTTTTCTTTTTTTTTTTGCAAAATCTAATTTTTTGTCTCTTTCGTTCCTATCTCTTTTTCTTTTCCTAGTATTAATAAGTGTGAAAAAAGAAATTTGAGAAAACCTTTTATTTTTATGTTTTTTGATCTCTTAAAGTAAAAAAAAATTAAAAATAACCATTCCAACTTTTTATTTTTAATTATATATAAAAAGGGTAAATATATTTAAAATTTTTTAACCATACTAGTTAGATTAATGATAAGATAAAATGCCTAGAAAATAATGTTAATAACTAAAGTGATTGTATCACTACAATCCAAACGAATAAAGTGATAATAATAATGTAGTAATGCTATAAAGTAAAAGGGTATTTTTGTCCAAAATTTCTTAACATATTGAATTGAAATACTTATGGCGGTAAAGTAACTAAAAGATAACATTATGGGGTAAACTGATAGTAGGGATATAGTTTTAAGAGGGTAAAGTGATAATATTAAGAGAACCTGAGAAGGGACTGAACTGCTACCGCCAATAAAATTTTCATAAAATCCTAGACAAAAATGCAGGCTAAGATATTCGATCTCTTGACCTGCATTATGAAATCTTGGACACGAATACAAACCAAGAAATTCGATCGTTTAATCTACATCTAAAATCTAAAAGAGCTTTTAAAACTCTCTTTGGTGACCAAGGGCCTTGTTGTTCAATTGAATAACATGTATGCCACCTATCATGGACTTGAACTAAGAAGATGAAACAAACATCTCACTATATATATTTTTTATTTTTTTGGGTTTGAAGCATCAAACATCTTTTTATGAATGTTGGGCTAAGGGAGGAGTTTAAATGTCTAATGACGTTTGGCCTTTTCATAATTTCTTTCAAGGTCTGCTTAACAGATACCCACACAATATTCAATAAGATATACAAGATATATTTCATATGCACCGTAGAATAATAATTCTTAATGCGTTAATGAGTGTCAATAGACACCCGTTATAGGTTAGATAGAATTCAAATGTGTTAATGAATATCTGTGGATACCTATTAAAAAATCATTTCTTTTAATTTTGAGAAATTAAACAAGATTAAACGAGTCATAAAATCTCTCGGGATTTGGGGATGTGATGTAAATTTATTTGAAAATTGATTACAATCATTTAAGTCTCGTTTGAATTGCCATTTTTCTTTAAATTTTTTTTAATATTTTTGTGAACACATTTCTTGATCATTTTTTTATCTCACATATATTAAATTCAGTAAATTATCTGGATGGTCATCAAACTTTTGGAATCATCAAGTTTTAACCATTGAACTATTAAAAGTCTGTTTTTGACTATTGAATTATCTAAAATTTAGATTTCAGGTCATTCTGCTATATTTAATCGGTAAACATGAAAGATCTAAATGTTCGTACGATTCACTAGACAAAAAAGAAAATGGCATAGTTAATGATTAAATCTGACAGAATGACCGAGAATCTAGACTTTAAATAGTTCAGTGAATAAAATCAGACTTTTAATAATTCTGTAGTCAAAACTCGATGATTCCAAAAATTCAATAGCCCTCCGAATAATTTGCTCCATTAAATTATATTATTTTTATAAAAAGTCTAAAAATAGCAATCTAAACAATCTCTTAGCTTTGATTTTGGCTTCTCCAGGAAGGAACTGATGTCGACGGGGCCATCAACCACACACTGCCACATCATGCAGCTTATAGTACCACTTGACTAAAATGACTGGGTCAAAATGTGTATGATATTGTCCCAAGGCGGGGCAGCTCTTACGTGGACAGATGGACTCGACGTGGGTCAATAATTCTGAATTGTGCACTGATATAAACTAACTCCTGAACATTCTTCTCCTGTACCGGACCTGTCTAAGGTAATCTGGACTCCCATTGGGCGAAATCCACATACGACTTTACAGTAGTCGTGGCCCAACCTACTCTGTTGAATTCGCGTGATAATTGCAGGTCTTTAAGTGGGTTGTTTCACTATTTAGTTTCTCAAGCGTAGTATTTTTTTTTTTTCACGGGATATTCCAATATTTCAATCAAATTAATTTTTTAAAGTTGCGTAAAACTTTGCTCCAAGAATACATAACAAGGTAGCATACAGAGAATTGATCACGGATCTACTAATACTATCAGATTATGGAACTAATCGGACTATCCATGAGGACTTCTCAAGAGTAGTAACATGGTTTCTAAGTAGTAGAGCACTATATTTTACTACCAATTTACTAGTACTAATTTTGTAGGTCACTATTTTAAATTCCCCTTATAAAATTTGGAGACTCTTTTGTACAAAAGTACAAACGCAATTTTGCAAGGTGACGTAGCCAAAATAGTCCCTTGAAGCAATTTTGCGGATATAGCCCCTCGAACATTTACATGATCACAACTAGATGTGTCAAAATGGGTGATTTGGAGAGATTTGGGTTGGTTAAAATAGGTAATGGGTATAAGTGAGTCAACCCATTTATACTCATTTAATTAGATAGGTATAAATGGATAAGTCAAAAAATAAATTGGGTAACCTAATTATCCATTTATAGCCCATTTATTTTTAACTTTTTATAAACTTATTTAAATTCATTTTTGCAAACTAAGTTATCAATTTATACCACTATTTGCACCAATCATTAGTTTTAAATATTTACTTATAATGTTCAATAAGTCTAATTACCAATTTTCTTTCCATCCGTATTCTATGCCACAAAATTATATACTATTTAATGATTGAACAATAAGAATATAAAAATTTGAACTGAATACTATAAAAGTTCACATAAAAACTTAATCCAAAATTTTGAACCCCTAACATTTTTTTTTCGCGTGTAAATTTAAAATTTTATTTTGAAAAGGTAGGAAAAGAGGGTAAAATTTGTCATAAATTGGTAATGTTGAAAAATGAGCAAGTTAACAAATTAAGAGAAAACAAAATAATAAAATAAAACCAACAAATAATAATAATAATGAAACAAAAGTAGTTAACATCATGACAAAATAAAAAATTTGAAAAAAAAAATGAGTGGGTGAAAAAAGGAGATTTGAGGGAAGACAATTCTAAATGGGTTAATTAGGTTTGATGGATTACCCAATAATATCCATTGATTTAAATGAATATTATTGGATAATCCATTTATATCCATATGCAAAAACTTAAAATACTCATGCACATCTATTCATGAACGCGTATGAATAAATTAAACTCAGTAGATTTGTTTGCCGCCTATAATCACAACCTAACATGGTTGGTTCTTGATACTCATGCACAAATTCCTTCACCAAGGCCATAGGATCATATGCCATGACCAATACCCAAAAAAAAAAAAGAAAAAGGGAACAAAAATATATTTTCCCAATATAGGTGTTGCGAGGCTTTGCTGCCGTTCCATGCGATAGCAATACATAACCATCCGGACAATGGCTAATAGTAGTATTTAGCGACCCTTCGCGATTCAGGTTCTTTTGACGAATCACTAAGCGTAATTGGTTGATTAAAGCTTGCATTCCGAACCAGATGTCTCAAAGCTCGTTATTGCTCGAGGAAGATCTCATTTAAAATGTGAAAGTGTAATGTCATGCCGTTCGAGGACTACTTTCTTAATGGTTAAGCATTAACATATCGAAGCAAAGTTGGGGCCACTGGTAATCGGTAAATGGCAATTTATACGCAACTCAAGGAACAAATGAAAAAGAAAGCCATTCGTCATCTGACAGGTCAAAACTCTCCCAAGAAAGTGGAAAGGGGCACAAGGCCCTCTTTTTCGAGTTTTGGGACACTCCCATATCCCTTCCTATGGTCACCAGTTTTTCCTAAGACAGTTTTTAAACAGCAGAAGGAAAATCGTTATTCAAAGCCAAACATCTGTAGCACTTTTACTTTTAGATCCTTTGGCTAATTTTTTAAAACGAAATATGGTTGGTCCTACCATCTCAAGATAAAAGCATATTTTTCTCCTTGCTTCTCCAATCCGCTTCCAAGTTTTATTTATTTGGCACCAAGGCAACAATCATTTTCCCACCCCTATCATTACTTCGCTGATAAGGGTTTCTTTTCTTAGTAATTCTGTTAAAATGCTTTCCCTTCCACTCCCACCACCACCGCCATGTACACCACCATCCCAGCAGCAAGCAGCTGCTTCTCCTCTGAAACAGATTATTATTACCTCAAAGGATTCCATGGATCAACATCTTTTCCCATCAGAGCTGCCACATAGCTGCAAGAGACAACTGGGAGGCTACTCTAAACTCCAGAGACCATGCAGGACCAATCCCCTCATCTGGTGCGGATCAATCTTTTGCTTGATATTCAGCCTTCTCCTCATCTTCTTTGGCATTGCGACTCTGATCATCTTCCTCGCCATAAAACCAAGAATTCCTTTGTTTGACACCCCCTCTGCAAGCCTTAAAGTGGTCTACATGGACTCTCCTCAGTTTCTAAACAGTGATTTTACATTTACAGCCAACTTCTCCAACCCAAACCCAAAACTTGATATCAGTTTTGACTATTTAAGCATTGAGCTGTACTCTTTTGACACTCGGATTGCAGCTCAAGCTCTTCAACCTTTCACTCAAAGACGAAAAGAAACAAAGTTAGTTGCTGTTCAAATGATATCAAGCCTGGTTTATATGCCACCCACTCATGCTTTTGAACTTCTAAGGCAAGTGCAGAACAACAGGGTTGTGTATCATATCAGAGGAACTTTCAGAGTAAGGTTTAGTCTAGGTGTAATTCACTTTTCGTATTGGCTGCATGCTACATGCCAGCTAGAGCTCACAAGCCCACCAACAGGCGTTCTTGTAGCTCACAGTTGCAGTACCAAAAAATGACAAGACACGAGTCTGTCCTTTTGTATCAGCTCCTTGTGTCTTCCCATCACAGATGATGTACATCCACTCTGCATACCACTATTACAGGTAGAAGAATTTTCTATGGGTTGTAATTGTGAACATCCAGTCAGCTTCTTGTTTCTTTACATCATAGATGATGCACATCCCTTCTGCATACCACTATTACAAGTAGAGGAATTTTCTATGGGTTGCACTAATGTATAATCACAGCTCTGGATGTAGAAAGTGGGCTCGATTGAATCTGATGGCTTGCATCATTACATGTAAGTTTATTGCAATTAAGCACTTGAAACCAAATAAATAAAGCACACAAATAAAATGCAAAATGTCGATTAAAGAGAACCAGGTAAGTCATTAAATGAGCATCGCGTGGCTAATGAAAGAAATTGGCCTTTCTGTTTTGCTGGTTTTAGCACAAGTAGATCTTCAACTGTCCAAATGTAAGCATCCTGGTCAATATCCCTTGGCAAAATGATTGAAACCCAATTCTTCCACACTGCAAAGACCCTCATTGTTCTTGTGTGCTGCCACTGTGACTCCAACAATTAGGATCCTTGATTTAGATAGCTGTATTTGTTAGAGAGTTTTTGATCCAATCAGCTTATTCTAATTGTCAGACTTATTTTTCTTGAAATCTTCATGGTTATAGCACTTGTACTAACTAGCTGAAAGGCAGTGCAGAGAACAAAAAAGAATCACAGAAGTTTTTCTTATTCAATTCAACAATAGAAGATTCTAACTTTTATACGAGATCCAGCTTTTGATTTAAAACTCCTAGTAGAAGAGATCATTATTTTCTAAGACATATTGTCGGCAAAAGTCATTACTGATACGTCAAGTTGTCCAATGAAAGGGAAGCCCTAACATTTGATAAATATAGATAAAAGCAAATATAAAAACCAGGAAGATGCGGCCTTATTTGTATTGGTCACATTTGGTTACACTAAGCCGCAAGGAAATATAAAAGCCAGGATGATGAGGCCCTATTTGTATTGGTCACATTGGTTACACCAAGCCGCAAGGAAATTCAAGGGTGGACAAGAAATTTAAACAATAGCAAGATAAATTAGCTACTTCTGCATCTCCTAATGCTATGACGCTGACAGATTTACACAACCATGCCAGATCATATTACTAAAGGAACTCCTCAGTCAAAATTCATTGATTAGGAGATGGAGGGCAGGGTCACATTTGGCGGAGAAGATGGAAGACAACAATCACTTACAATGACCAGATGTCCCAATATCTCATATTCTTAGCACAAATGTGAAACCAAATTTCAAATGGAAAGACGATTTGGAAAAATTACAGTAAATGTAACCCTTTCATTGTTCGTACACACTGATTGCCTGACTCATAAAGTGTTCATGACTTAACACATTTTCCTCAACTGCCAACAACAGTAAGCTATCATCCAACAATGTCCACAACAACACCATCCCCAACATATTTGTGTGTTATTTCGGAAAATACAAGATGAAAATAGAATTATTGCTAGGAAAAATGTCTAAAATCAGGGACTATTACCAAGTTAAAGAAACTTAAAGAAAAAAACAAAATAATTTAATGTATACTCAATAGCCAGCAACTATACATTCTTAGCCAATAAAAATAAGCAACGCAGTGGTTATCAGAGGAATAGCCTGAAAGAATGCCAGCATACTGTCTAAATAGGGTCAACCAGATGCTGGCAATGATAATATTTACTCCAAATTCCATCTGTTTTAGATTTTTCATGACAACCCCACATTAAGCAAAATCCAAAGACCACTCTATATGGGCACTATGCCTCATTCTAAAGGTATCAATCTCACATTCGCGCTTCCTCTATCATCAGCTAAACAGCATGTCATAACCAGGTTGAACACAAAGCATACTGAAAAGATGATCATCTTCCAAATGCTGGTAAAATATGAACCTAAGTTCTTGAGAATGCTAGAAAAGTCAAAGTGGCATGTATACTTCCAAAAGCAGAAGATTGAACTTTATTTGGAAAACAAGTAATAGAAGGAAGCATAAGACTGAAACAGGAGGCATTGAAGTATCGTCTAATATAACTTTTATTCTGTACTCTCAAACAGCGTTGTTAAATTCTTATAACTCTCCTCACATTTCTGAAGGACTATAAGCTCGATGGTATCAACAGTCTAAAGCATCAGCATAGCTTAAAGCAATGAAAAACAAACAGGAATGGAGAAGTGAAAAAAAAAGTACAAAACCTCATTCAACCCCAATGGTTTAGCTACTACTAACTTCAGATGGTGTCTTTGCTACAATAGACAAAGCGTGCAGTCCACTTTGCAACTCATCTTGCAACAAACCATATATCAATCTGTGCCTTTTAACCAAACTTTTACCTTCAAACTCCTCCGACACCACCTTGACGTTAAAATGTGTCTCCCCATCACTGCCCTTAACCCCAGCATGCCCAGCATGCTGATAAGATATATCTTCAACTTCCAATTCTACAGGCTTCAGCTCACTAACTAACTTCGCCTTGATCCTCATCCCCCTACTCCCCAATGCACCACCATTACCAGAATCCAATTTCAAATCAGTAACATCTTCTTCAGAACTCACTCCACTCTTTACATCCCCATTTCCACCGTCATTGTTTAATCCCGAATGTGACATCGAGCTTTCATCCGGGCTTTCAGATAACTGACCAACCGAATCTTCCGCCTTTTGAGCTTCCAAATACAATTGCAAGGCCTTCTTCTGCATTAATTTCAACATATTCAAAAACCCATTATTCCTAGAAGGTGTAAGACTCTGCTGCAACCCAAGAAGCACCGCAAAATCAGGTGTAACTCTCAAAATCTCCTCCACAGGACGGCCTGAAAGGCCTTGAACAAGCAAAGCAGCTAAGCCTTTGGTAAGAACTGAATCAGAATCAGCCTCAAAGACTACATTTTTATCCGAATCAAGGTATGCTCTGACCCATACCTGCGAAACGCAGCCTTGTACTTTGTTCTCACTGGTCTTAAACCGACCATCCAAAGGCCTTAAATTTCTTCCATAAAACAAGAGCTGCTCATACTTGGCCTTTGGTTCTTCAACGGCCTGGAAAAGTTTGATGATTTCTTGGAGCTTCGGGGGCAGCTCTTCAATGGGTTGGAGAGTGGCCGCTGGGGAAGCTGATGGTGTTGAAAATATTGGCTTTGTGGGTATTCTTTGAATTGTAATAGGCCTAGAGAAGAAAAGATTTGCGGGTTCTGAGTGCAAAGATGCAATCTTGGGGGTTTCAGAGTCTGGTGAATAGCGTGGGCGGCGCGCGAGCAAATGTGGGTTTTTAGTGGAGAATAAGCGAAAAGAAGGGGAAATTGACATTGGTTTTTCGATTTGGGAACAGAAAAGAGGGACAGGGATTGGAATTCGCAAACTAAGATTTTGAAGGGAAGCTTTGGGGTTGAAGAGAGGAAAGGGAGGAGACGAGCTGAGGGCTTGAATTGTTGTTCTTGCTCTCATGTGATGTCCCAGCAGATGGAAATACAAAAGAAGAAGATTCAATGGTACGACAAAAAGACAAAATCGCCAACACAAATGTCTCTACCAGAAACCAGAATCACCATTGACCACAAAAATTGAAACTGCAGCTGCTGCTGAATGCAATTTCGGCTTCTCAAGTCTAAGGGTCAATTATTGATACGGAACTTTTATTCTGGGAATAAAATATGATTCAACTTAGATCGATACATTAATCAAAATCAGATGCCGGTCCCCCTCCTTGTGCAGTATGGGGAGAAGAGGTAGTTTTGGGCAGGCCTTGATCACGATGCGTGAAAAGGGCTGGCCCAATTGAGTGATGAGGACCCTTGATCCCTCAATGAACGGGCCATCAATTTCCTGACCGGAAAGCGTGGTCATCCGGATTGCGTCTTTAGTTGCGCCATTTACCAGAGCGCAAAATCCTTTGCGCAAGTCCAACCCCCCCAAAGCCAAGAAGCCTTCATGACATGTAGAAACTATCCATTGCCGATTTCTAATTTTTCCCCTTCTTCAGTTGATAAAAAGGTTGGTGATGCGACAGCCAAAAATCGGATCCGAGCTGAACGGTCGCGAGCCGAGCTGGTCAGGGGTAGCCGACCTGAGAGGGTGAGCCGAGCAATGGGTCCTGTGAAGGGGGAAAAATGGCGGGACCGGCGTCTCTGAAATAACTCCGACGGTCAAGTCAGTGATGATTGTCCACAAAGTAATGGTTTAGAATACTTGTGAGTGCGTACCTTGCATCGTCCCTAGGCATGGTTTATATAGGGCAGAGTGGGTTGTAGTTTCCTTGTGGGAGTCAGAATTCCCGTAGGGTTCGGAGTCTTCTTAGGGTTTCGTGCGGCGGCTCCTACAAGTTCGGAGGCGGCGGCCCATAGGCCCATCTCAGGGAGCGACAGGTAAGGCCGAGCTGGCATCCACATGCCGAGCTAGCGCCTGCGAGTTGTGAGGTCTCCACCATCGACCTGACGCGTACAACCTGCCGAGCTGACATGTGTCACGTGCAGATTTGCCCCACTACACTAGCCCCCTTGAGTCTAGAGTCACTGATGAGTCACGTGGGTCTGGACCAAATTTCGAAGCGTCACGTCGGCTTCGTGCGGGACCCACGATCCCACGATCACGTACCTTCTCCGAAAAACTGCCACGTCCGTCGTTGTAACCGTCACGTCAAGGGTCACGTCCTTCTTGATGGAGGTTTGTCAGCTCAAGCGTCTTCCAAGATAACCGCCCCCTTGCAATAAATTCGAATTTCTTCCTCAGGACTCTTCGGCTTCCCGCCCAGGGAGCCTATAAATAGGCCCCACCAAACGTCACTTTCAAGCCTTCCTTCTCATTTTCTCTTCTCCTCCAGTCTTCTTCAGCTCGCTCCGCATTCCGTGAGGTCGTCCGAGAGTAGGATTACCTTCTAAGCACATCCCAGCTCTTCTCCTTTATCCACCAGTAAGTCCTCCTTTTCCTTTTATGTCGTCTTCCTCCACACACTCAGACCT